TGAACTCTCAACGAGGTCTGTTCGCTTCACCAATCCGTCTGATCCACAAGCCAGGCAGGCTCCTGCCATAAATGTACTCACCGTCAGCGCCCAACTGCACAGGGTCGAAAAGGAGGGGCGGAAACGAAGCGTCTTTTGGAGGGGAGGGAAAACCAAGTCTTATATAATATATATATATATTTATATTATATATATATATAGATAGTGACTCCAAGTGATACAAAAGCATCTCCCACCTTCTCAGTCGAGAGCTTGTTCGGGGACTGCACCACCCTTCGCGGAAGCCGTGCGAACCTGGGAATTCGAAGCGAGGTGCCGCTTGGGCCTGAAAAAAGAGGACCCCGCAGGAACCATGTCTACAAAGGGAACCTCCGCAACATCTTACTTCTGCGTCTAGTGACCTATCTTCCCTATGTGACCTACTTGGTGAAGAAGCCAAAAAGGCTTGCTCCTCTGTGAATCTGCCCTGGTGAGCTTCAAAACACTGAATAGGAGGCTATACATGGCTATGCCATTTTGAGAACGACGAAACCCAACTGTTGCTTCACAACTCTTTTTCTGTGAACCGCTCAGTGGCACATGCATTCGCTTTGGCTGGCTGTGGCTCTGACTCACACATCCACGCGGCTGGACCGACCTGAAGGATCATGGACAACGGTTCGGGTGAAGATTTCGTTGTGATCAAGGCACAAGAAAACGGTGTGTTACTAGTAGCTTCTTGCTCCTAATAGCGATGCGTTTTATTGCTAGTAGCATCAAGGCACAAGAAAGCGGTGTGTTGATAAAGATCTGGAAGGATCCCAAATTATGTCATCAAACCGGCAATCGGTATCAACCAGTCATATCCTTTCACATGTCATCTGTTTGGAATTCTCATATCGGCATCTCTTCGGTTTCTTTCTTAGGTGCTTGGACCGAACTCTGGTCGATCATAAAGCTGTTGGGGTGTCAGAGATGTCTCATTGGCATCATCCCGACTCCACCTCGAAAGGAGTCAACTTCGCTTCGAACTTCACGCTGTACTCAAAGTCAAACTCCAAGCAGTGCCGGGACCTCAGCGTGGGGGCACGGGGATTTCGGCATCCGTGACTCGAAGAGGACGTATCGTCAGTCGTGGTATATAAGTGATTGCATCACGCAGGACCCTTCAAAACGGAAGTTGCTCCCCAGGCCTTGGAAGTACAGTAGATTCGTAGATCATCCAAATGGAATGCACATGAATGAATGCACTTTGAGGCTGACCAAACCCAACAAGTTTGACTTGGACACTGTAAAGCCTGTAAAGCCAACCAAACGTTATCACAGTTTTTACCTTGCCTAGGCGCTCCCAATCCACCTCATTCCAAGGAGCTTGTCGGGTACCGCTTCCCGCCACTCGCTCATGCTGGCTGCTAAAAGCCAAAGCCTCGAGTATGCGCGACGGCACGAATCAACTGAACCCAGCGCCTCGATCAAACTACCTTACCTTGAGTTCAACAATTACAATCCTAGATCTATTCAACAACATGTGCGCAAAGTAGCGTGATGACATGCAGCTCAATACAATGGGAGTTGCTGTTATCTCACAGATCGCCCCATGACATTCATGAGGATTGGTGTCTCCTTGCCCCTCATCATCTTTCCTGAAGAAGAAGAAGAACAGGAAAAAGGTATTGTTCAGCCCAGTCTGGTGTCCTCTATCCAACGCATTCCGGATACCTTCCTCCCATCCTCTTCATGAATAATTCTGTGCAAATTTCAGAGTACCTTATATAAATTCAAGAAACTTTCAGCAAAACAACCTCTGAAAACGAACGACTTTCCCTGCAAAGGTACTGATGCATGTTAGACTTGTGAGGAAAAACACCCTACTTAGTCGAAAATCACCTGAATGGCGCAAATGAGCTACAAACCCACTGGTTAAAAAGAAAAAAATGTTGAAGCAAACCCTGCCTCATGATCTCATGCGACTTGGACAAACCAGGGTGATTCCTTGCCCAAGTCAAGGTTGTGCAGTGACCAGTCCATCGATGCCTTTCGATGACCGAAGCAACACGTGGGTCGCCGGGGCACTTGTAGCGGAAACCGGTGGGCATCGCATGGTCCACAATCTGCCGAGAGAATCGAGCGGATCTTTCGTGCATGTCGATGTCGATGATGTCGTGACAACCATCGACAGCAACATACAGCAACTGATCCCTGCAATTGGACGGTCAGCAAGGACGCTATTAGGAGCTCCTGGCATCGCTACTAGGAGCAAGGAGGCTACTAGGGGCTCCTGGCCTTACTACTAGGAGCAAGAAGCTACTAGGAACAAATGGCATCGCTACTAGGATCAAGGACGCTACTGCTAATGGAACAAATAGCCTCTTTCCCCTCGCTACCATGCATGATCCAGAGGCTCGACCTCAAAAGGTCCCAAATTCCTCATGACTTCACTTGGCAAGCTTTGGGCGGTATTTACACAGATTTGGCAATATGTAATGCATATAGTGGATGAAATACTCAAGGGTCAAGCTAATGCCCAACTCCATCGTCTTGCCCATAATGATTTAATTTACAAGCTCCACCGTCTTTGGAATCCTGTCCTACGTCGCATTTGTAAGGTTAAGTCCCATCGAACCCTTTCAGATGCTACCTCAAAGAAGGATCTTGAGACAATCTTGGGTAAGCCGGTAGCAGACGAAACAGCCAAATTCATTAGTAAACAAGACTTTCCTATGCTCCAGGGAGCTGCAGATGCGACTTTCGCACACTCACAGAACCAATTGCACTGTTTACACCTTGTTTACAAATATCTTGTTGATTTGACAGATTACCCTCAAAACTTAAGTTGGAACGAGAATTGACCACATGCAAACAGTCGACTTCTATGCCCAAGCCCGCGAAAAATTAAGAACCATAAATGCGGAACACGCGTCTTACTGGGGGTGAAAGGTCTCCAGACAGGTATGGAAACTCTTTCACATACTCAAATAGCCTTCTGCGGACGAGCCATTGCCTTCTCATAACAACGGAATAACCTGGTATGAGCTTGTCGTGCTATACATGTTACGCTACGGAAACTTTCTTCCAATTTGGATTCACCACAAGACGAGGAAGTATCGCATAATATGATTTCATGTCAGAGGAAGTCCAAATGTTACCACATACACGACATATATATAATATAGTCTTAAACAACAGGCTACAAATCTGCGAAACGTCGTTCGTTTCTTGGAACACACGATCACGATGAAATGCAAAATGCTTCCTCGATATTCTACAACAGGAGCCGTGTCTTTAGTCAATCTTGGGTTCCACCACAGCTTAGTTGGAGGTATCAGAGCAAGACCATGGCTTCCCGACCAAGCCAAAGTGCTCTCTCTCTCTCTCTTTACAGAATATATGAAATTGGAAGGACAAAAATACCCCGCAAATGTTCACCTTCCTATGCCAATCATAGCTGCAGTAGATCCTTTTACAGTATTCCAGACTTGAAAGAACATGACTTCGAAACTCGCCAGTTGGACCAGGGACAGGTTAAGAAACCGGGGGCACAGAAACGCAGTCTGGATTTGTTCGATGGGCCAGATTAGGTGCTCTAATTCGTGATTGAGAACCAGAACTTGTGTGCATGTTCACACAAACATGTCGTATCAACTTCATTGTACAGCTATGGTTATCGGGACACGTTGCATGTACAGTGCTTACTTGCAATCATTCTCACTTCTTAACGAGGCGCGCGACAAACAGTCCGCAAGTGTGTGTGTGTGTGTGTGGTAGTGGAGTCTGTTTCTTCGTTGGGTGCTATAAGTTGTTTCTGGCACCATGGGAGCCAAGGAACAATGTACAATGTAAAAGTATGTAAAGATTTCTCTGCCATCATCACCCAAAGGCCCAAATCCCACACCTGTCCGTGGTGAACCGGCACTCCTCCTAAGCATCCCATGGCCTTAGCACACGAATCTGGACCATCTGCGAAGCCCCTTAGCCGATAAGATATGACTTTGCAAAGGAGTTTTGTGTTGGGCCTTCCCTTTTGTGATCTGAAGAATCAATGCCAGACTGCTTTTGACAGGTGCCTGGGGCTCGTTTTGATCTTTTTTCCCTTTCTGTGGGGCTCCAAAGGCAGAATAGGTTCCAAGAAAGGAACTTGCAACAGCATCAACTGCCTCAGGTGTCATCCGGCTGCTTCTGCACTCCTAGCAACTCCTCAAAGTTCCAACTGCCAAGAAAAAAGAGTTGCAACAAGTAATGGATTAACATCAACCCAAACTTTCAGGCCCTTTCATCAACTGCCGTCTTAACGCAAGCTGCGAGGCAGCTAGGCCTGAGCAGTCAGCTAGCTTCGTGAAGAAACTTTGGGCATCCCCGCACACTTCGGGGCATCTGCATCGCCATCCGGAGTATCCTTCAAGTCAAAGAGCTCGATGGCCAACTGTACCAGGACGGATGTCGCAGACCGAGACTTGAGCTCTGATAACCCACCGCTTCGGTCGATGGTCACCGGTGGTAATGCAGAGTGCAGTAGCACCGAAGGTGGATAGATGGTGCATGCAAACACCAGTTCCTCTGAAACAGTTTTCTCGATCTATGCTACTGATGCTCACACAACAGCAGGTCAGAGCTTGTGGCGTTTGTGGGTAGTGATTCGTTTGCATCCTGACAGCCGTCCCGTTTGCCAAGGCCGCCAGCCAGGTTCCTTTTTCGCACTCTTGTGCATGGTGGGGGTGATCAGGTTCATGTCAAAAGTAGATCAGTCGGATGTTCTGATGTCGCCTACGCTGGTGCTATTCACTTGTCCTCATGTCGACAACACCTTCCTGTTCACCCGTCAGTCTATCTACGGCTCAAGGCCCAGGCCGAGCATGGACACCAGCCCAGACGAGAATCTTTCACGCGAGCTGTGATGGACAAATCCCAAATTCAAGCCCTACTGCTGGTGCATTTGGATCTAGCCTTCCCACACTCAACGTGGCTGGGGGAGGAACAAATCCTGGGTAATTATTCCATGATATATCCAGCTTCAATCAAGTTCTTGACGTCTTTGCTCTTCCGATCGTTTCTGCACGTTCTACGTGGCTACAATGACTAAACCAAGCTCCCATCAATCCACGCCAAATTTGCGCGATCTAATGAGCTTCAGCTGCTCCTGGAAGGGTTTGTCCAGCTCCTCAAAGCCACTCAGCTGAATTTTTAGTTGGTGGGCGCCCTTCAAGACTCACCACCCCATACACACCGTATATATACACCTCTATTCTTTATCCACAAGTGGAAAACGGTGGAGTCCGAAAGCCCTGCGCCGACCTATGGATGGTTCTGGATGGTTCTTAGTTCGCTCTTTGGGCTGCGATGGATACAGAATCCAATGCCCAGGAGTGAAAGCAACGACTCCCAAACCTTGAGATGGTAAAATCCTTGAGGGAAAAAAGCTTTGAAACGGGTCAACTGTCCAGTTCATGCCCGCAAAAAAATGCAGTCAGGTCAGGCAGCATGGTGACACGTCGCAATGACAACATGTCACATGCAGCTAGAAGCTGCACGTGTACAATCCTCTGGAAGTTCCCTCACAAAGTCCCAAATGGACTTTGTTAATGGGGCTCAAGTCACTCGGGGTGACTTAAACATTCATTCACATGCCCTGTCTTGCTGAAGCCCGAGCTGACGTGCTGCCCTCTGACCAATAAGCCCAACTTCTGAGACAGGGACAATCGTTTGCGTGATATTGAGATTCTTGGCGGCCCAGTCACGGTCCTGGCAACCCAGTTGGGAAGAAGTGCCTGGTTCAGAAAATCCTTTAAGCACATGGCTTAAAAAGCGGTGAAAGCATTGGCGATGTCCATTCGCCCTCTGGTGCTAGTTACACGATATCTTCTTACTACTGAGAGTGCGAGGACTTGGACATGTATTTGATAGCAACAGCAACCTGCACGCGACGAGACACCCGTAAGGACACCTTCAAATAGGACAGGTCTCTTCAGGAATCCCGAGCCCAGTGCAAATGATGTCGTGGACAGAAAACCCGAATCAAATCCCTCATATGGCAGCAAATCAGATCCAAAAACAGCTGCCTCAGCTGCAGTGTAGATATAGGACTGCCATCCCATCGCATCACTCGTGAGGTCCTTCAGGGCAATCAAGAGAATGGCGATTAAGCACACAGTGGTATGGACACCTCTAGTTCTACGAATCATAATATGCTGCTATGCTGCCTCTTGAACAATCATGATATGCTGCAATGATCCTCTTGAAGTAGAGAAGAAATGGATACTGGAAGAAAGTGTAAGAAATGGATGTCGGCAAACATCTTTTTTGTGCAATCACCTGCCAGGGCATCTTCATTCAACTCACACGTCCTGGTCGATAAAGACTTTGCCTGGGCTCAAGGACTGGTGATGGACTGACTGGAACTGACTGGCTCAGCAAAAAAGAACTGTCATTGGCTTAGTCTACAGGGTCGACCAAATCACAAGACTAAAAGACTGTCAGATCAATCTGCTTGCCGTTGAATTTCGTCGTTTCCCAAGCTGTGACACGTGTTTGATGCACATGTTCCTTCTCACAGGGTATCCAAGAGTGGGGCCCAAATTCTCAGCTGTCCGGCGGTCTTGCGCGGAAACGACGTCCCATTTCACAGGATCCTGCAACAAATGAATGAAGCCTTGGTTTTCGATCAACAAGCGGAACGGCAGTAGAATGCTGGAGTGGCTCTGCCAACACAAGTTGAAGAACAGAAGCCGCTTCTTTGGCAATTGGAGGAAAACTTTGGTGGTCTGCTGGTTCGCTCTGGGTAAACAAAGAACTCCCCTATATACTGGCTTTCTTGGCGGTCGCTTCTCTGGAGCACTGCGAAGAAAACAGCTTTCCTACCACTCTCCATGCATAGTCCCATCAAGGCATGAATCGTTCAATTCTACGAATAGATGCATGTATGTATGTGTATATAAATATACATGCATGATGTGGTTGTTTGCCCAGCTAAATTCAGGTCCCAAGGCAGGCGCTCATCATACTTTGTCTGCTTTCAGTATAGATACGTAGATTAATAAAATACACTGACTGTATGGTCTCAGTCTATGCAGCAAGTACAGTATGTCAGAACCTATCCATTCCTGGCAATTCAATCAGCGGAACCAACACTCAAATTCCTTGAAATGCTTGGAGGGCACTAAACAGCCACACTCCTCGTAGCTGGCCCAGTCCTCGTTCCAGCGGATCATATCCTTTTTCTCACCAAAAGGGTTAGGCCTCAGCTAAGGGGAATTGAATTTGCCAGAATACGGGAAGGTTGCAATGGAAGTGGTCTTGAAATGTGGACAAAGGGTGAATTCTTGAGTACCTGGCAGAACACACTGTATGGCCTCCAACCTACTACCTCCAACCTAATAGCATTGGCCTCCAACCTAATGGCGGTGGCCTCCAACCCAATAGCGAGGGCCTCCAACCTATTAGCGATGGCCTCCACCTGGCAGAACACACTGTAAATTGAATACCAAGTGTAAAGTTTTGAGGCAACCACAAGCTGGTCCGGTCTAAAGCAACCTATCCAAACGCTCATGTTTTCTATGCTATGCCTTTCTCAACCATTTTCAATTGCCTCCAATATTTCTTCCAAGGATCACCGGCGTTTATCTTTAAGAGGCAAACTGAATCTTCGTCATTTCATCCATCAAATAGAATCTGGTCCTGCATGGAGATCTGCTGTTGCTTGTCTCGGAGTATTTCGGTGCAAGGTTCTTGATTCGTGACTTTGGCCACCTCCGGACAGCTTCCCTGCCCCGTAGCTTTGGCTCGAGTTCGATCGCCCTGATGATCAAGCTAACACAGCTCATGCGCATGTGTGTGTGTGCACTGAACATCATGCAAAGGAGGTGGCCAATGTGCAAATTCAAGAGATGCTTGGGACTCCATATTCAGAGATTTGTTGATTGAGATGAGCTGTACAAAAAGGAAGCCACCACGAGCATTGAGACCTTTCAACCAAGGTGTGCCAAGAACATCACCTGGCATTTACCACAACATGAAGTACTTGAGCTCGCCAAGTACTTTAAATCAGCCAAACTGTGTCAACTGGTTGGACAAGGCTACCAAGAAATGCTCCAATAAGAGCCTTCCAGTCCTGCACACCAACCCAAACGAATCCCAAAAAACATGGATTCATTGAAAGGCCATCGAAAATAGCTACAATTCTAGTCTTCCACTATGAATGTGTCTTCATATTTGGTTGTAGTGCCCAAATACCGTGTCCTGGTAATTGGCTCTCTTTCCCAAGACCTGTCCGTAACGTGCAAAGTTCAAACACCCCAAGCACAATGCCGCAATAAAAAAGAGTTCGAACGAACAACTGCAGCAACACAGTCCGGATGAACCTTTCGTGTTCACCATGAATAGAACTTGTGTAAGTGCGAAAAGTTGTTCTTGGCTTTGTGGCTAGCTAAGTCTCCTATTCAGCCACTGGACCTCAGGCCTCTTGAACACAAACGCACAAGACCATGTCAGGCCTAACATCACCTATCGTTGAGACTGGTCTCTGGGAATTCATTTCGGGGTCGGATCGGTCCCTGCTGTTTGGACAGGAGAGGCTCCGAGGCCTTTACATTACAAGAACAGTTGCAGGTTGTATACAGAACAAGTATCAAAAAAAACTGTTTCTAGATGTGGATGTGTTAAAAAGAAAAAGCCTTTCTGTGATCAGCAAACTTTAGAAAACCTATCGAACGCCTTCAACCAAGCAAACACTGATGTCGGCACTCACCCTTTCTTGTGAGAAGGAAACATCCACATGTCAATGTGGTGCCTTAGGCTCCACACTTGGCTTGCAAGCCGCGGATCCATGGGTCATCCGAGGGTGCAGGCCTCAAGTCACGGCGTCTCATCTTGGGCACAGGTGCCGCTAAAACCTATTTAATAGCGATGGCCTCCAACCCAATAACGATGGCCTCCAACCTAATAGCGATGGCCTCCAACCTAGTAGCGCTTTTCACTCTCTTATCCAATCCTCCTGCCCCGAGTCGATCTTTCAAGCTGAGCCCCGTACGGGTAGTCAGGATCAAGGTCAGGCATTGCCTCTCCAGCCTTTATGGCCCTGCAGCCGAGAGTTGTTCTGTCGTCCGAGTCGACTCTAAATGTCAACATGGATCCCTGGAGAGCTTGTGCCAGCTTGTGCTGGTGTTTCTGGGGCTGCACCTACTGTGAATCTTCTTGACTACCATCTATATGTCACACCCCGCATTCTTCCGTGCCAGTCGAAACCAACAAAACTGAACAAGAACATACACTTAGCTCTGGAAACACCTGGAATTTGACGGTAGAACAACTCAAGTCAACTCCTGAATGCTGCTTGTGATGCTCAAGTTGAAACCCTAAATCAGACAAGCGGAGTGCGCACTTCGGCTTGGAATTTCGGAAAGCCACCTTTGCGACGCTAAAACACGTTCAAGAGACTGAATTTCGCTGTGCCATATCCATACGCAACAAAGACTGATGTGGCCCGTGAGAATAATCCAAAGCGACAGAAGGCACTTCAGGAAATACTATTCTCAGCCAGTGTCAAGCCAACAAAGTTCCCCTTAAGAAGTCTCCACAGCAGTTCATTGAGCAAATGAAATGGTCTTTGCAGTTCAATGCAAAGCTGTTGTTACACGGTGTTACACAACCGGCTATAGAATCACAACTTGTGTTCCAAAATCCATCTCCTCAAGAGGCTCCCGTAATTGAACTTGCACAAAAAGTAGAATCCGCCTTACACCTCTCATGACTCATAGCTCTCTCGTTTGACAAGGCAATCTCTCAAAAGAAAGCTACTATAGTAATAGTATATGTGTACTGTATGTTATCACAAGTCACCTCCATGAAGGAATATGCGCTGCGTCCATGATCTGACTAGGCATGCAAGCAAGGTAGGAGGGTAGGAAGGTGGCAAGACAGCAAGCCAGCCAGCCAGCAAGCAACGGAGCAAGCAATGGATGCAACTTGGATGAGCCAAGGGCAGATTCGACATGATCAGTGGCAGTGCAGCTTGCATTGAAGGAAACGATGAGATGGACAGGGAAACCACCAAAGGCACCGAAACCTCAACTGAGGATGGCATAATAACATCTCAACGGGCAAAAAGCAATGATGGTAGAATGATTAAGGTGACAATAGTTCCACAACCATTGGATACACCGATGAATCTAAAATCTAGCAGGACAAAACCTTTCCCCAAGTGTGACCAAGTTGAGCTTCCGCGCCGCTGGGGCTGGAAAGCCAGCCACTAGGCTTGCCAGCAGCGCACGGCGCGCCTACAGTAGCACATCTTGCGGACCCAACTGCTTTCCGCACAAAAGTGCACAGGTGGAAACCGAGATCGTTGTGACATGGTTGATTTTTTGCCACCAAAGACTGGCTCAACGCAAAGGGACTCGCAGCTTTTTGGGGGCCATCAATCTTTTGCCTACGGTCAGAAGCTTCGAAGACCAGTCAGAACCTTCACACCCGCTTCCACTCCTGGACGGCTTCACCTCGATCTGATTCGGGTCCTGCGAGTCGGGTGAGCGAAGATCCCATGTGCGGTTCAATTCATCGAGGAATTCACTGACTGGGCTTGGATTTGACACGATTTGCGGCCTGGTCCTAGCATGTGGTGTAAGAAGCACCAGGCATTGGCCGCCAAGGCACAAAGGACCTCAGACCCGCCAAGTCTGGATGGTGGAACCTTTTCCCGAACCCTCCAGACCCCCCGCCCTCCACCTGGGCCAGATATAGAACCCAACTGGGACAGTGCGACTTTGTCGCCGGAGCCAATCTCCAAGAAGCTCGAAGCAATTACTAAAGACCTGAAGGCCTGCAAAAACGTGACGGGAGCATATGGGAGCATGCAGTCTCTGCCGATGAGGCACAGCCACACATGCCAGGCATTGCGGCCGTCTCTTCCACGGTCGCATTGGTTCTGCGAGGTCCGGAAGACCTCAATGGTCCAAAGAAACGCACCCCGCGTGGGTCAAGGTGAAATGAAGAAGGGCCGCTCGAACAAACCCACTGGGCGACCAAAACTGAGAATCGAGTCAAATGCTATATTCACTGGGGCCTGTCGCAGATATCTGGACTGGATGCTATTTTGCGAACGGATTTGGAGCAGAAACCCTTGCTGCAACAAGCAAGACCAAGAGAGCTGAGATTCCAGGCCGCCTCACCGCCCACTGTGGGGTCTTTCGAGCCCAAAACGCAGCAAATCGCAGCGTTCCAAGGTCGGTGACACAAAGCCAGGACGGAAAAGTTGATCTTTGGAAGGCAGACGCTTGAGAGATGGCCCAAATACTCGCAAAGGCCACATCGTGGGCAAAAAGCCGCGATAGTGTCGTTTCACCATGTTTCACGGCAGTCGGAGTCTTCAGTCTTCCATTCTCCGCTTCTCCGTCCTCTCCGGAATCCCTTCCCCCTCGGCCTCCAGAGGGCCACTCGCAAAGCGAAAGGAGACGCGCATGAAAATCCGCACGAAGCGGTGGAGCCGCGGCTGGGCCTGGTCCAATCGTATGAGGACCGTGAAACGGTCAAAAGTACTGTTTGCGAGGTTGGTAGTTCTCAGCGTGGAGGTTTGAGTTGGTTTGAGCGACAGGTTCAGTTGGGTTTAAGAGTTCATTCTGCTTTGCATTCAGGGTCAACTCTCACATGTGTGCCTCTGCTTCTGTCACAGCCAGGGCCCCTTGGACATTCGTTACCGCGCCTCCAAGACGCTACTCCACAGTGGCTTCTGGAAGGCTGTCCAGGGCCGCTCCTCCGCAAAGCGGTAGACGAAGTGAGAAGCACCTCCGCACAGCGAGGTCACATCGTGCACACCGAACAAGTCCCCCAACACAACTAGGATCGGAACCTAATAGCCGTGGCCTCCAACCTGAGAGCGATGGCCTCCAACCTAATAGCAATGGCCTCCAACCTAAGAGCGAGCTCATCCTGTCATGCAAAAACTTGTAGAATTGACACCGCTGCTGCTTTCCCAAACCACGGGCCAATCCATAACTTCAAGTGATTTCGGATGGTGAAGACCACCTGCTGAGCTCTCAAGGCCGCGGTCGCCAAGCACGACCACCTGGGCGGTGCTCACAGGCGGATGGTGAGGGATCGACGTTGCAAAACGACCTGCAGGAGTTTTAGCCACCTGCAGTGCTTGCCATTTGGGCTGAAACGATCATAGAAGCATGAGACCATGGGGTTCTAGGGCCGGGCGGTCACCTGTTAAAAGGCCATCGGAGAAAGAAAGTCAAGGGAACCTGCCGTACTTCTAGGAACAAGAAGCTACTAGGGGCTCCTGGCATCGCTACTAGGAGCAAGGACGCTACTATTGGCCCCGGGCTGCCGGACACTTGTGCCCGGCTTGGGAAGGCGATCCTCCGTCGGGCAGGCCTATGGCGCCCGTCGCCACCCAGCAGCGTGAGGATGCCGAAAAAAATGAGCCAAATGGGCCATTTGCCCCATGATGTCATCATCATTGTATCTTTCTAAGAAAAAGAACATGAATTCTGCACTCATGTTCTTTTCAGCGCTCCCCTCAAGGCTGCAGCCGAGGGCCAGTGAAGCCCTGCGCGGGTGGTGGGCACCTGACATTTTCTCAGTCATCCACCCACGGACGTCTACCTCCAACCAGTGCTTTGACTCTCTTGTTGACCAACCTGTATATGTTTGAGAACTCAAGCACACATGACTACAAGGGTAACCATGTTCAGGTCATCTGGTGGGCGAGCATCTCAAGGCATGTCAAGTCATGCCAAGAATTTCGCGGCCAAAAAACCATAAACGCTTCTTTGCATCGACACAGGAGGTTGCAGTCAGATCGACTCCCAGAATCCGACTCCTCCGAGACTCCACGCTGCAGTCAGATCGATTCGCACGGGCCAGCATTTTGCCTGGCCGAGCGATGTGGGCATGGAAGCTCCGGCGACATCAAAGGACGCCAGGCTGCCCGTGCCTCGGACACCTTCGAATCCACCTGGCTGGAGACCACATCCACAGAGACCAGATCAAAGACAATGTCTACCTTTCGCAAGAGAGGACAGGGGGTGAACCCGGCAAAATGTGGGACCATGTGCAGGTCGCACTCCGAAAATTCCTTGGCAAACAAACTTGACATCATCTCACCGTTTGAGCATGCAGCAATGTGGTCCTGCCTTTTACTGTAGATGATTTGGAGTGGAAAGCAAAAGACAAAACCCTTTACCCAGGTGTACTCAAGGTGCTAAACACACACGTCGTTCCAAATGAATGTGAGCCAGAGGAAATGTACAATAGTTGGGCATCTGATACATGATGATTGATTGGCCTAAGGAGCTTCTAGTTTGGCAGAGCTGTCCATCCAAGAAGAGGTCGATCGCAACCTGCCTTGAGGTCTTTCCCTGAAAGAAGACCATGCAGGAAAGCCTCGACTTGAGGCTCTCAAAATGGGACAACTTGGCGGAATGTCATGCTGGCTGGAGGAAGGTCTTGGCCCAAATACATGATTCTCCGGTGAACAGAAGAAACTGGTCAGGATGCACAAAAGCCTTTCAGAATAATATCCGTAATATCCTGCATATCTCTAGATCCATACACAAACCGCCTGAGACCATACACTTTAGTTGATAAATGCAAAGGCTCATTCCGAGTTGATCAAGATCCTTCTGCGCCAGGTCGTAAATCCAGATGTGCCGGGCTGATTGAAAAGTAGCCGCAGAAATATGCAACAATCTTGCCCTCTGTCATTCTGTCTGGTGTGAAAGGGAATCACCAATTGGACACGTATACCAAGAAAGTCTTTGCCCCTTGGGCAACACCATGTCCTCTCAACAAGGCTCAACGTGTGCAGTTTGTAGGATGGCGACGTCAGCTTAACGAGATTCCATCTGAAC